AACTGATAATTTAATGAATAATTTTTTTAAATCATAAATTTCAAATGGTATAAAATAAATTCTATTTTTTCTTGAAAACTAAGCAAAGAGAAGGTAACAATTAATTAGTTAAGTTATGGCTTTTTTTGGTTTATTGATGGAAATCTTAAAAATAAAGTTTTTTTTTTCATCAAATTGAGCAGTTTGTTCTTGTTTGCATTTTCAAATAATTGAAATTATCTTAAAATTATGTCAATAAAAGTATCAATATCGTTATCACGACGATGTTTCATTATCATTTTATGATAATGAGATAATTTAGGGACTTTTCGAAATCACTAAATGTTAGTCAGTATTCATACTATGAATTCGCTCACTAATAAAACATATTTTTGATCAACGGTTACATAATAATTTAATCACGAATTAATTACTCTATTAGTATTAAACAAGCTATTGTTTATTGTAGCACTAATCCACTTAAACAAACTTCTGTTTATTGTAGCATTAATTTATGATCAGATAAATAAATGATTTGGATATGTATAAAATTTAAGAAAATAATATTCGGAGAGAAAGAAAATTGAGAATAGGAATTAATTGATAAAAAAAATGAGTTAATTATTAGTTCCCGTCCAGGTGAGTATTCGTTCTCAGGAATAAATTTATATAAATTCCTAAACTATGCATCATTCTCACTCTTTTTTTCTTATATTGTCAAAAATTCATATATATGAAATATTTTAAAACTTCTTCGATAAATAATAAATAATATAAACATTGGCTGAAATTTATAAATAAAGTTACTCCTAAGAGACTAATAAATAAGCCATTTCATATAATTAAGCCATTTTGAGAGGGGAATTTTTGAAACGACAAAATAGCTACTGAGAAATTGCTCTTTAAATGAATTTCGGATTACTTTGTAATTATTCGATGCCAATATATTTACTGTCCGATATTTCCAATCATTTCTTAAATTTTGAAATATACACTTTGAGGCTAATAATGAATGCATTATAAGTAATTATACTGTAAAAAAGGGTCAAAAATTAAACTATTAACTTGATTAATGAGAATTTCTTTCCTTTTTTTGGAACTATCTAAATTGTAATCCTGAAATACAGAAGATAATTTTATGAAATGAAGTGATAAGATAATTTTGAATGACGTGAGAAAAGGCATTTGGTATGAATAATTTAATTTAATTCATTTTAAATTGGTAGTTTAACTTTAATAAAGAAATTTTTTGCAAAAAAAAGCTATAATTTCATAAAAAAATATTTGGAAAAACATGAGAGCAATCCACTTTTTTATTTTTTTGCAACTGCTGGATTAAAAAAATTGTAAAATGAATAAATAAATTTGATAGTTTGATAGTGTTAAAAAAAAAAAAAAAAAGAAAAGCGAGAAGAAAAAGGGAAAAAGGGAAGAATTACAAATATATGTGCAAATTAAATTTAAAGATTTCACTCTTTTTTTTTAAAATAAACAATTTCAAGAATTTTTATCAAGAAAACATGAATAGAATTTAATTTTAGGAGCTTAAAATAAGACAGATTTCGTGGTACAATGCAATTATTGTGTTGTCACATCAAAAAAAAAAAAGAATGATGGCATTAAAATCATTCCTTCCAATAATTGTTACTTATTTATCTTTTTGATACGATATATTTGAAAAGACAGAAAATGGAACTAACCATCAATTAGTTCCTCATTTTTCAGTTTCTTTTCTTTTTCTTTTTGTTGCATATTTTTGCAAAATAGACGATTACATATTTATTAAAAAATAAAAATAAAAATCGAATTCTCTTTCTCTCTTTCTCTTCTTCCCGTTCAATTGAAAGTTAAATTCGAAATAGTGAAAAATTTTCGATTATTTTTTGAACATTAGTTAGGATGAGTTACAAGTAGTTAAAATTACATAATGTGATTTGATAATAAGGAAAGGAAGAAAAAAAGAAAGGAAAACTCGCAAAGCATAAGTTTGGAATGGTTAAAGTTTGATTTGCAAATTTAAAAGGCCTGCTGATGAGAAAATTGATTTGAAAGTGAATTTTAATCAATTTAAATGGATGAATTTATAATTGATTCAAACAGATGGATGAAGATATTCAAAAACAATTATAAACTATTTTATAAATTTTACCTTTCCACTCATTGTTTTTTTTTTGGAATAATATTTTTCATTATGTTTATTGCTTCCCTATTTGTTTGTTTGTTTGTTTTTAATCAGAATTTTCTAATTTAGATATGATTGACTTCTTACTAGCTAATTATTAGCATAATATTAATGATAATTTACAATTGATACAGTGAAAGAGTGTTATGAAAGGATTAACGTAGAAAGATTACATTATAGCTAAATTAGGACATTTCAGGTTATCAGGTCATTTTAAGTTATTTAATACCTATAAAATAGTAGAGATATGAGAAAAAGGGAAGTATTACAGGGAAGATAGAGTAGATAAAATAAGTTATGTTAGTTATAGATAGAATGAAATAGTGAGATAGAATGGAAAAATGAGACATGCCAAAGTAATGAACAAATCATCAATATGATGAGAATCTTCCTCATCAAACAATCAATGAATGAATAACAAATATGAAAAATTCGAGAATAATTTTCATAAAAAAAAAGAAAAATATTTCCTCTAAAATAAAAGGAAAGAAAAGAGAAAGTGAAAGAGAATGGGGAAAAGATAAAAGGAAATGACTGAATAGTGGATGAAAAATGGAAAAAGAAAGATTGAAATATCGAAGAACAAAAAAGAATGGATGGATACAAGCCTAAGATTAAAAAAAAAAAAAAAATGCATGCCTCATTATACTGCACCTCTTTCTTCCACTTCTATCTTTTCTTTTTTTCCCTCTCTTTCTTTTCCTTGCTTTTTCAATAGAAATTTAAAAAAAAGTTTTTTTTTTAAAAAATGATATTTTTAAAAAAGAATATTTTTATTTCATATTATTTTAAAATATTTTGTTCCAAAAAAAAAAGTTTCCCTTGAAAAATGACTTTTATTACTGTAATTTTAATAGTATTTTATCATATATAAATAATTTGAACTAAAAAATTGCGAATTTGTTTGTTAAATGTAAAAATAGAATTGATTAATGGAATGATTATCATTTCATTTAATCATCTATGATCTTTTGAAATGATAACAGTTGAACGATACGAGAGTTAATGATAAATGTCAATCAGACATATGATCATTGTAAAATTCCATTTGAAAATGATGGCAGTTGGATGACG